GTTGACTTACCGAAGAAACTACATTCATGGACGGTCTGTTTTAACCTCAGATAAATCCTATATTTGCATGACGAATAGTCCATCAGGAACCAACACAACCGAGTTCAAGTAGTGTTCTCCTCATGAGCTGAGCCCCTGTAGCATCACGGAGCCAATGGAGCTAACGGAGCTAGCAGTGAAACAGAGGAGCTAGGAGCAGCAGTCCCGTTGTCATGAAGGGGGAATCTAACTACATACAGAACATGTTCATTTTCGATGTTAAATTGGACATTTTAACATAGGGTCTACGGGAATTGCTCCCATCTGCATCCATCGCCTAGAGTTTGCAGCATTGGGCTTCACCGCATTCTGTCCCGGAGATCGCTGCTTGGCTCTGAGAGGCCAGAAGTCAGTTTGATTGCATTCGGGCTCGATTGTTTATCCTGTCTGAGTAGCCCGGATGATGTTGCATCGCAATTTTGGACATCGAATTTTAAACATCGACATTTTTGACGTTGAATTTTTAAACACCGAAATGGTACATTCAAATTTTTTTCACTTGAATTTTTGGAATCTGAATTTGACTATTCGAATTTTTTTTAACTTGAATTGTTAGTTTTATTTCATTACATTACATTACATTGCATTTAGCTGACGCTTTTATCCAAACCGACTTACAATAAGTACATTCGACCAGGAAGACACAACCTTGAAGAAAACAGAATCATATAAGTACATCAGGTTTCATAGAGCCAAACATTTCAAGTGCTACTCAACTGGCTTTAGGTAAGCCAGTCCTTTATTAGTATAAAAGTGCTTCGTTAATAGTTCTAACGCTCGAAGTGGAGTCGAAAGAGATGAGTTTTCAGTTTGCGCCGGAAGATGTGTAAGCTATCTGCCGTCCTGATGTCAATGGGGAGCTCATTCCACCATCTTGGAGCCAGGACAGCAAACCCACGTGTTTTCGCCGATGGGAACTTGGGTCCCCCTCGCAGCGAGGGCGCAACGAGTCGTTTGGCTGATGCAGAGCGTAGTGCACGCGCTGGGGTGTACGGTTTAACCATGTCCTGGATGTAGGAAGGGCCAGATCCATTCGCAGCATGGTAAGTAAGTACCAGTGTCTTGAAGTGGATTCTAGCAGTTACCGGAAGCCAGTGAAGGGAGCGGAGGAGCGGAGTGGTGTGGGAGAATTTAGGAAGGTTGAAGACCAGACGAGCCGCTGCATTCTGGGTGAGCTGCAGAGGTCGGATGGCACATGCAGGTAGACCAGCCAGGAGGGAGTTGCAGTAGTCTAGGCGTGAGATGACGAGAGCCTGGACCAGAACCTGAGTCGCTTTCTGAGTCAGCTGGGGACGTATCTTCCTGATGTTGTAAAGCATGTATCTGCAGCAACGGGTTGTAGCAGCGATGTTTGCAGTGAAGGACAGGTTGTTATCTAGGGTCACACCCAGATTCCTTGCAGTCTGAGTCGGGGAAACAACTGAGGTGCCGATGTTGATTGTTAGGTCAAGAGTGGGACAATCTTTTCCCGGGAGGAAGAGCAGCTCAGTCTTGTCAAGGTTGAGCTTGAGGTGGTGAGCAGACATCCACTGAGAGATGTCAGCTAGACAAGCAGAGATGCGTGCAACGACCTGGGTCTCTGAGCGGGGAAAGGACAGAATTAATTGGGTGTCGTCAGCGTAGCAGTGGTAAGAAAAACCATGCGGGCTAATGACTGATCCGAGCGAGTTTGTGTACAGGGAGAAGAGGAGGGGACCAAGAACAGAGCCCTGAGGGACCCCCGTAGTTAATTGACAAGGGTCGGACTCAGACCCTCTCCAAGTCACCCTGTAGGTACGGTCTTTCAGGTATGAGGTGAGGAGGGAAAGTGCAGAGCCTGAAACTCCCAGTTTTTGGAGAGTGCGAAGGAGGATCTGATGATTCACCGTGTCGAATGCAGCAGACAGGTCCAAAAGGATGATGACAGAGGAGAGGGATGCAGTTTTGGCAGTGTGCAGTTCCTCCGTGACAGCAATGAGAGCAGTTTCTGTGGAGTGACCTGCCTTGAAACCAGACTGGTGCGGATCCAGAAGGTTGTTCTGATTAAGATAACAGGAGAGTTGTTTAAAGACAGCGCGTTCAAGTGATTTAGACAGGAACGGGAGGAGAGAGACAGGCCTGTAGTTTATAACATCAGACGGGTTGAGAGTGGGTTTCTTTAGGAGAGGGTTTACTCTTGCCTCCTTGAGACTGTTTGGAAAGTGACCAGAAGTTAGAGAAGTGTTGATGAAATGGGTGAGAAACGGTAGAATGTCAGGAGCGATAGTCTGAAGGAGGTTTGAAGGGATAGGGTCCAGAGGACAGGTGGTAGGGAGGGCAGAGGTAATGAGGGTAAGAACCTCACTTGGAGAGAGAGGGGAAAAGGAGGTAAGTGTGTTGGTGGAAGGAGGGTCTGGTGACCCAGCGGTGAGTAAAGGTGAGTCAGAAAAAGAAGAGCGAATATCATCAACCTTTTTTTCAAAGTGGGTAACAAAGTCGCTTGACAGAAGTGAGGAGGGGGGAGGAGCTTTTGGAGGGTCCAAGAGGGTGGAGAAGATGGAAAATAGTTTTTTAGGATTGGAATAGGAAGATTGGATCTTATCTTGAAAGAAAGAGCTTTTTGCCTGAGAGATCGAAGCAGAGAAAGAGGAGAGGAGAGCTTGATAGGTTAGGAGGTCGTCACGGTGTTTGGATTTCCACAATTTCCGCTCTGCTGCCCTAAGGACGGTTCTATTAGCACGCAGTGCATCATTTAGCCAGGGAGCAGGAGGGGACTGACGAGCCTGCCGAGATGTGAGAGGACAGAGCGAGTCCAGAGTGGATGAGAGAGTAGAGAGGAGAGTTTCTGCAGCAGAGTTTGGAGGCATGAGTTGGAACGAATCAGAGGAAGGGAGGGCTGAGAGCACCGACGAGGCAAAGGTAGAGGGGGAGAGGGAGCGAAGGTTACGGCGTACAAGTGTAGGATGGGAAGAGATTAGTTTGTTATGTTTGGAAAGGGATAGAGAGAATGAAATGAAGAAGTGATCGGATGTGTGGAGCGGGTTTACAGAGAGGTTAGAAGTAGCGCAGTTCCTTGAGAATATGAGATCAAGGACATTGCCAGCTTTATGAGTCGGTGGGGATGGAGACAGTGAGAAAGCAAAGGCGGTTAACAGAGATGTTAGTTCGTCTATCTTCCCCGTCTGGAGGTTGAAGTCTCTGAGAAGTACAGCGGGAGGGCCAGTTTCAGGGATGTGTGAGAGGAGATTATCTAATTCCTCCAAGAAGTCCCCCAAGGCACCTGGTGGACGGTAGAGAACAACAATGGTTAACTGTATAGGATGGGTTACTGTGACGGCATGGAACTCAAAGGTGGAAGGAGTGAAGTTAGGTAGCTTGAAGAGGGAAAAGCTCCATTTGGGAGAGAGCAGGAGACCAGTGCCACCTCCTCTGCCAGTTGGTCTGGGTGTATGGGAGAAGGAATATGCAGTGGAGAGCGCTGCTGGGGTGGATGTGTTGGATGGAGTAATCCAGGTCTCAGTGAGAGCAAGGAAATCCAGAGACTGCAGGGAGGCGTAGCCAGAGATGAAGTCAGCCTTAGGAACAGCTGACTGGCAGTTCCACAGGCCGCCTGAAACTAGATGTTGGATCTCAGTGGAGCACGTGGGATAGACGAGAGCAGGCCGGTTATATCGATTACGAGATATACGGGGCCAGTGATAATTGCGAGAAGACACATGAACAGGAATGGAGAAAATACACATGATTATAGCATGAGGGGCTAAACAACAAAATAAAATGAAACAAAATAGAAAATAAAAACACCAGCGATACTTAGCTCAATCAAAGTAGGATTTTCCTCCTCTTTGCCTCCCTCGTGACTCCTGTAGGACTCCAATGTCTTTGTCAGTCTTACTCCTGTAGGACTCCAATGTCTTTGTCTGTCTGACGCTGAAGCTGACGCTCCAGGAAAGTGATACCTAAAAATGGACGCCTGATTGCTCAGTTCTCACAGCTGTAGGGGCAAGCCCCTCTAATTAGTTAACTATCTACAGCTGATGGGCGACAATAGACTGGCCCTGCCTATATTAATAATGCAGGCTTGAGTGCTGAGACCTGTGAAGCAGGTTTCGCCTGAGCAGATCTGAGATTTAAAATCTCTCAAAAGCGATTTAGCCGTTTAAGGTACAATAACAATTATACAGAGTCGAATAAATGAAACCGAGAAGTCTAATTAAACAAGAATATAACTTACAGTGGTTGCTGCGTCAATAGGTAATGTCGTCACCGGGTCCAGATGCACACTGGTAAATTCGGAGCAAAACAATTCAGATACATGATTTTTAAAGTAATTATTTTCAATGCTATAAATTCGGTGTCTGATACAATTCAAATACTTCTGTCTCTTGTTTGATTCCATAGAATGTACCCTTTTTCGGACTGAAATACTCAGACCAGCCCATCTGGCACCAACAACCATAACACGTTCAAAGTAACTTAAATCACCTTTCTTCCCCATCCTGATGCCATTTGAACTTCACCAGGTCCTCTTCACCATCTACTGCACATGCCTAAATGCATTGAGTTGCTGCCATGTGATTGGCTGATTAGATCTGCGTTTACGTGCAGTAGAACAGGTGTACCTGATAAAGTGGCAAGTGAGCTTCATATTTGACTTTATTTTTTTATTTCTTTATCATTCATTTAGCCATCCTTTCCCTGTTTCCTTGCTCTGCCATCTCTGTTTACAGCGACAGTCTTTCCCAATGGGTCTGTTGGCAGTACAGGATGGGAGTGTGTTTCTCCTCTCTCTTTAAAAAGCCCTATATCGCCTCTATAGTCACATGCACACTCACAAAACACTACAGTAGACAGCCCTGCAGCAATGATAATACACACAGCCCACACCATAAGAAACAACTTATTTTTTCTCTTGTCATGTTCTCAATGTATTAGGGCTCTGTATGCTTAGTCTGACCCATCACTTCACTTAATTAAAAAAATATAACAAATTAAGACAAAGCCTGAAAAACATGTATTTTTAATCAAATGTATACAGCAAGAAACTGATTTCCAAAGAAGAAATTCACAGAAATAAGGACAATTTCTTTACAGAAACTGGTAATACATGGCACAAACATATTATTTTAAGGAATATATAGTTTACTTTTCAACATGTTTGGAAATACAACTAAAATACTACATCCTCCTGTAACAGTGACTGAATGTGTATGTTGGATCTGAAGTCCAGATGATCTCTCACAGCAGCTTCAAATGATCAGACAGTCATGATGCATCTACACAACAAAGGAGAGAAATAGGATTAACAAGTGAGACCAGACAACAGTTACTCAATTCTGCTGACATATTTCTGTTTTAATTGTCATGCATTGAATTGTATGGACATCCTTTATCTATACAATAGCATTTCAATAAAGAACTGAAAGATAGGCTGCGATGTTTTGTTGGTAGGAGCTAGGGCTGCTCAATTAATCGTATTTTAAATCGCAATTACGAGTATATGGCTTGCAACGATTACGAAAACAACGTAATCGGAATACAACGATTATTTTTTTATTATTATTATTAATTTATTTTTTGGTTTTTCAGTTGAGTTATACTTAAAGTTCAGGGTAATCAACTGTTAAAAACATACTGTTCAAAAAAAAATTCTCAATAAATTGATGTTTTCAAAGTACATGGATAATCGTTTTTAATAATCGTGATATCAATTATTGACCCAAATAATCGAGATTATGATTTTTGCCATAATCGAGCAGCCTTAGTAGGAGCTAAATATAACAAAACATAATACATGTCAAATCATTAATGGGTACTGATAAATTATTGGAGGGTTAAATTAGACATTTCACTTGATGTGTAAACGGAGACAGTCTCAATCAGGAACATTTATCAAACCTTTATTCAATGAAAACACAGTCAACAATCAGTGTTGTCAGGCTTTAGTCCAGTGTTTCTCAAACTTTTTCATACCAAGGACCACCTAACCAATAAAAAAACACTCGCGGACCACCTAACTCCACAAATATCCAAAAACACATCGTTTTTTACAAATCGCCTGAAAATGGTACAAACAAGTGGCAACATGTGTGATTAAGGTGTTTATCTGGGCTATTTCATGCAATCGAAAGTTAAACTTAAGCTCGTTCCATTGCGGAGATATTCCCGCGAGAGTGCGAAAAACTTAAATAAATGTATTTCTTTCAAATGTGAAATTTTACCAATATACTCACGGATCACTAGGGGGCGCTCACGGACCACCAGTGGTCCGCGGACCACACTTTGAGAAGTACTGCTTTAGTGCACCTACCTTCGTAATCAGTGTGAGGCGATGGGAAGTTCACTGGCTGTGGGACACTCTGCTTCACCTTCTGGTTAAATGCTTCAAGCTTAAAACAAAAACAATAGAAGGGGGTTGAATATATTATATTGTGGCATTTTCAGTAACAGTAGCAAGTTTAGCACAGGCCTTAAAACACTAATGTTTGGAAATCCTCTAAGATTAAGCTGTCTTTGGCTCTTTTCTGCTGTAACAATGTAAATGTCCCCTCTGTGGGACTAATAAAGATATTCTGATTCTGACGATATCTGGAACTGTTTATCAATAATAACTTTAAGGACTAGAAACACTCATCATGTGTTGTAGTTTTCATTAAAAAAAAGGAAACTGAGAAGACAGAAGTTCTATTTTGTGCTTTATGACGTTATATCTGCTGTAATATAATGACAGCTTTGCTAAATGGCATAACTCCTCATCTCAATAATCAATGAGATATTTGCCTGAGAATATGAGAAGTAAAACTGACAGGCCAAGACCATGAATACATAAATGTATTTAATGTAAACTTGAAAAGACTAAAGCATTTGGTGTGCAAGGAGGCGTGTGGCGCAGTGGGTTGTGTGAAGGTGTTCGGATCAGGGGGTCACAGGTTCAAACCCCACTGTAGTCAGCATGTCGTTGTGTCCCTGAGACACTTCACCCCAAATTGCTCCTGTGGGGATTCCACAGTATTGAGTATGCAAGTCGCTTTGGATAAAAGCGTCTAACAAGTATCATGTAATGGTTAATACCCAAGTCACCACTATGCATCGTTTTACAATGCTTTATTAGAGGACCTGTACCAAACAAGGATTGTTATAGACTCCAGGACACTGTTTGGAGCCCTGGACTTCTCTGAAGCTCCAAAATACTTCATTCAGATATATGCAATATTTTTCTTTACCAAATATTGCCTCTACTTACTGCGATTTTGATATTGCACTAGTTTTAGTACATTTTGTATCAATTGTGCCGTCCCTATATACTCTTTCTGTAAAGTTTGGGAAATACACTTTATTATCGTGGAATATATCTCTTAAAAGCAGTCATTGGTAGTGTCACAAAATGGAATAAATGATTACATTTATTATGTAACAATTAAGAACATGTAGCTTGTGAGACTGATCGCTTTGGTTTTATCGAAGGAACAGGCCATTTATTTTACATCCCACGCAAAATCCTTGATCAACACTCATCTATGAACATCTCTTAAAACAATAAGAGGGATTTCCGCAGTTCAGATGCAGTTAGTAAGAAAAATAAATTCACTATCTCCTGAAAGTGGTGCAAGTTTCCCTACCTCCCCCCCAGTGTTAAAGGTTACCTATTATTAGGTCACCATATATATTATTATGCACTTTTGGTTGTCTTTTGTACATAAATATGTGTCCCCGATGTGTAAGGAGAATCACAAAGTCAAAATACAACCCTCTCTCTTTTCCTCCTTACCCACATCTCTAAAAACGGGGGTACAACGGAGCTGATCCAGATTTGCCCCAACCTATCGTCCTCTATCAATAAAGTCGCTGTATCAGAAACAATGCGTGACGTGTTTTGGAAATAATATGGTCTGTGTTTACATTAGCAACCAACGTTAACACTGAGCTAACACTGTACTGGAGATAATATGTGTAAAGAAGCCGGATATAAAAAGGAACTGTCCTTGTGGGAAACCCGTGAGAGAGAAAGTGTTTGAGCTCCATACTGTTTCAGAAATAATGCTTGATGTGGTTTGGAACATAATATGGCGTTTAATCACGGCAGTGTTTAGCTGAGTTTCTACCAGTAGACAGCCTTCTCTTCAGAGCTCACTGCTTGAATGCGGGCGCTCCAAAGGGGCGTGGCCAGCAGCAGCTCGGTTACATTTATGGGGCTTTCACACCAACGCGGTTCCAGGGCCGGTTCGGAACTAGAGCCTGAAAAGCACCGGTTTTTCCTGTTCACACCGCAGCAAAGCCGCCTCTAAGCTCCAAAACCCGGTGCTTTTCAAGCACCAACAAATTGTCGGTCTAGAAGCAAGAACCGCATACGTCACGCTTACGTCGGAGGCGGGGGCAGGATCAACCTGAGCAATAACAATTGAAGGCGAGTACGACAAATTAAAGTTGTAACAAGCAGTAGCGCTGACCAAAGTGACTAGAACGCAACCACACACTTATTAAAAAAAACACACTTTATAAAGTCAGGCAACACTAACCAGGCTTCGTGTGATTCTGTTTATTTGTACCATCCCTTCGCTGTCATTGATCATTGTGGAGAGCAGGCAGACGTTTTGTTTTGTATTATAGCAGCTATCGGATGGAATCAATACATGGGCTGCACAGGTTGTCATGACTCATGTCCGACTATCACAAGTAGAATCATAACGAAAAATACGCCAGTAAAATGTGCCTGTAGAAAACGGCTTATGGCACAATAGGATAGCAACAAGTAGTCAAGATAGTCAGTTTAGCTTTGGTTGCTATGCTAACATCACCCATTTTGAACAGCGTTGTGATGGTCGATAAATGCCGCTGAAACACATTAATAAACAATGAACCACAGCACTCTGGAGAAAAGTACAAGGGTTGATAAGTCGTTATTTAATTTAATCTGGCTTCGTATGATTAAAAGCAACACGATCATCGATCCGACGTCGTTGGGGAGAAAATCAGCGACGTAACCTGTGACGTCATGACGCAGCAGCACCAGTCGGGCTCTGGGCGGTGTGAACAAAACGAGGGCTGAAAAGAAAAACCGGTTCCGAACCAGAAAAGCTCTAGCACGGAGCTAGAACGGGAACTGCGTAGTAGGGTTGCCAGAAACTGACCATGATTAAAATCGATTAATCGGCAGCCCTGGCGATTAATAATCGATTAATCGACCGACCGACCGACCCCCCCCCCCCACCATTTACAATTATTAATACTATTACTATTATTAGCATTAGTCTATATTTTGGTTGAAACTAAGCCAGAATTTTTTTTTTAATTAAATAATAAAAAAAATAAAAAAAAATATAATCGATTTTTAAAAATAATAATCGATTATGGAGACTGTAACGATTAAACGATTAATCGCTGGCATCCCTACTGCGTAGGTGTGAAAGGGGCAATAGTAGGGATGTAACGATACCAAAAACGACGGTATTTATCGCGATATTGAATAATAAATAAAAAAAATAAAAACATTTCTTTATTAAATAATAAATCTGATTTGTACAGCATTTTAGTAGGATAGCAGTATTTTAAAGTGTCAAAAACAAAGTGACAGTAACAGATTGGAACAAGAAAACCAGTGTTTTTGTACCTATAGTACTACCAAACAAAGTAGGCATTTTCTTTGTGCCACTGCATCTCACAAATAAACAAGGACATTTAATAATTAGACACTGCAATAAAATAAATCAAGTTTCACTTTAGTTTTTCAAGTAACTCAACTCAAACTCACTAGTCACTCACTCAGCATCATCAGACAGGTTTTTAGGAATATGAGAATGTCCACATTTCCAGGTATTTATAAGCTGGGATGTTTGGGCATTTACAATATCCCCTGCTCTGGAAAAAACTCTCTCGCTTATTACTGATGTTGCTGGGACAGCACAGCAGTGGTCGCGTTAACCGAATATTTTATTTATCAGTGACAGAAAAATCTGAAAGCTGTCTGTCATTTTGACAGATTAGAACAAACTCGGAACAGCGCCAACGTTTCCCCGCAGCGAGGCTCTGGTGTTATGCCGTGTTATGCATGCCTTCCAAAAGGAAATTATATAGTTTCCAAACCAGTACTTTGCCGTACAGATCAACACATGTCTGGGAGGTTTTGCTTTACGCTGTGTGCGCTCTCGCGAGGTGCATGCACACACGGCATGCACCTCGCGTGCATGCCGTGCGTGCATGCCGCCCCCCCCCCGTTGACAGTTCATGAGCGTGCTCTCTTGTGAACTGTTCAGACCCGACGGGTAATAAGGGATTATGACGGACATTTTACGATCCTGTCTGTCAAAATGACGGACAGCGAAAAAGTCAAACTGTGCATTGTCTCTCCACCGTTTTTGCCAAGAAGGTGAGGCTTATTGACAGGGCGAGATATAAATATACTGTTGGTACTTGTCAATGTCTCTAGGTGTGTAAATGTAGCCCTGTAAATACGATGTCCTTTTGTGTTCTGTTGTTTTATGTTTATGTTGTAACCTTGCTGCCTGCCATGTTGGACAGGTCTCTCTTGAAAAAGAGATCGATGGTCTCAATGGGACCACCTGGTTAAATAAAGGTTTTTTTTTAAAAAAAAGTGTTTTTAAAAAAAAAATAATCGCGGTAGATTTTGTCAGTCTCACGACGGTATTGGGACGTTTATTTACCGCGATATTCGGTATATCGTTACATCCCTAGGCAATAGCACTCAACCCTAGTAACAGGGCTGAAATAGAGGGGTATGAGGCATGCTGCAATGGGTGATCTGTTTGGTATTTTGAGCAAAACACTTCATAAACATGTTTTGTATAGATATGGCCCTATAATATTTTGTTCAAATATAGCATAATAGGTGAGCTTTAACTCCTAATGGCATTAACAAGATTTAACCAAGCCGAACTAAACTGTCATACTATGATATCACAATTCTGTCAGTTTTGTTACTGAAATGTTGTCCGAGACATATTTTATGTGCTGTTAAGTGTTAAAAATGAATGTTTGCGGTCCAGGCTCCACATTGAAAACAGTTGCGCTAAAACCAAGTACCAACCCGCGCAAACTTTAATTTTACAGTTTAACAAAAATATTTCTGAAAACAATAGAGACGAGAAATAGTCAATGCAGTAACAGAATCTATCTTCATATTTTTTCAGTGCTGCTTAGTTTGATGATCGGATTTCATGCAGCAGTGATTAACAGTGTGTTAGAGACTGCTCTGATCTGATTGGTTGCTTTTTTTCTGCATGTAATCTTCAAATTAAAGATCATTGAAGCAATAGAGGATTATGTTTTCACATATCTGTCTCATTCACTACTGTCAGGATAAACAGATTTAACAAATATAAGTATATTTTTGATAAATGTACTTACTGTAGCTTTAAGAAAGTTGATCAAATGTCAGGTAAGAGTGATTTTTTTCTTCTGCAACACTAGATAAATACTTGCCCTGATCCACAAATTAAATTTAGCTTAGCTGGTAGCCTAACTTTTCGGCATGATAAACTGAAATCCCATCCAAGTGGGATCAAACCTCCATAACATGACCTCCTGAAATTACATGGATTAGGAAGCTAATGTAACCAACCGTTTTCCTCAGGTTCGCTTTGACTTCCTCCTCTGTTAGCTGCCGTTTCTTCTTGTGTATCGGCTCGGGTTGGGACACACGTTCAATGTTATTTTCCTGCAACTTCGGTGGCAAAGGTGGAGGGTCCACCTCAGCCTCTGCCTTAGGCACTTCGGATAATAACGTTTTTCGTTCATGTTTCGCCATTACATTGTCCCAGTATTGAACCTTCCTGAGTTTCCTTGCACTCAAATTCTTCTTATAATTCTTTGTGGTGTTCTTTTTCATTACACACTGCTGCGTACTGTCGATGACCTGCAGGCAGCGAATCTTGGAAAAAGATGCAACTTGGCCTTCACTCGCAGACAAGTCTGGATTTACAAAAAAGTTTGTGTCAAGGGGGTTGTGATAGGGGTTAACCATGTGAGGTTCCCCCACAAAATCAGGAAAGTTATGGTAAGGGTTTAGGGGGTAAGGACCCTCACCGGGGTAAAGGGAGGGAGGAATAGACACCTGCGTCTGTCCCCAGTAAGTATTTGTGGCAGAGCTGTAAGTGCCTTTATCATAGGCAGTGTACTGTGAGTCCTCGGACAAACTGTATTGTGGAAATGTAGAACAATTATCCGGGTTGGGATGGGGGTTGGTTTGGTTTTGTGTAAGACTGTTTCCATCTCTGCTTCTGTCTATAACAATTTCTCTGCTTCTGTCTCCAATTCTGTTTTTGCTATTGTCTCTAATCCTGTCTCTGCTTCTGTCTCTGCTTCTGTCAATAATCCTGTCTCTGCTTCTGTCTCGGCTTCTGTCAATAATCCTGTCTCTGCTTCTGTCTCTAAATCTGTCTCTGCTTCTGTCAATAATCCTTTCTCTGCTTCTGTCTCTGCTTCTGTCAATAATCCTTTCTCTGCTTCTGTCTCTGCTTCTGTCAATAATCATTTCTCTGCTTCTGTCTCTGCTTCTGTCTCTGCTTCTGTCTCTGCTTCTGTCAATAATCCTTTCTCTGCTTCTGTCTCTGCTTCGGTCTCTGCTTCTGTCAATAATCCTTTCTCTGCTTCCGTCTCTGCTTCTGTCTCTGCTTCTGTCTCTGCTTCTGTCTCTGCTTCTGTCAATAATCCTTTCTCTGCTTCTGTCTCTGCTTCTGTCTCTGCTTCTGTCTCTGCTTCTGTCAATAATCCTTTCTCTGCTTCCGTCTCTGCTTCTGTCTCTGCTTCTGTCAATAATCCTTTCTCTGCTTCCGTCTCTGCTTCTGTCTCTGCTTCTGTCTCTGCTTCTGTCAATAATCCTTTCTCTGCTTCCGTCTCTGCTTCCGTCTCTGCTTCCGTCTCTGCTTCTGTCTCTGCTTCTGTCAATAATCCTTTCTCTGCTTCTGTCTCTGCCAATAATCCTTTCTCTGCTTCTGTCTCTGCTTCTGTCAATAATCCTTTCTCTGCTTCTGTCTCTGCTTCTGTCTCTGCTTCTGTCAATAATCCTTTCTCTGCTTCTGTCTCTGCTTCTGTCTCTGCTTCTGTCTCTGCTTCTGTCTATAATCCTGTCTCTGCTTCTGTCTCTGCTTCTGTCAATAATCCTTTCTCTGCTTCTGTCTATAACCCTGTCTCTGCTTCTGTCTCTAAATATGTCTCTGCTATTGTCTATAATCCTGTCTCTCCTCTCTCTCGAATAAGTCTGTTCAGACTTTCGTTCCAGGTTTCCAGTGCTGGGGGAGCACTGACGCATTGGGAGGCTGGGACTTAAGCTTCTAGACTTGGTGGACCTTGAGGAGGATGAAGAGTTACTGAAATGTCTCTGGGGGCCACTATGCTGACTCTCCTGTGCTGCTCTACATCCTTCTACATTTGTGTCTTCATTCTTCTTCCCGTACAGTCTCTCCTGAGTCCGATCTTCTAGTTTGCTCATCCCTTCCACTTCCAGGTTCAACCCCAGAGTTTTAAGAATATTCTGAAGCTGTTCATGCTGCACATCCACCTTTGGTTTATCTTCTTCTTCCTTCTTCTTCACAACTGAAACAGGTGACTTTGATGGTATGCTAGAACCAAACTTGCTTTCTCCTCCTTCATTCCTACTTTCTTCATCGCCCGGCATGCAAAAGGTGTCGTGGCCTCTGTTGGTCTGACTGAAGTCGGGAAGCGAGGCTTCACTGTTTGATCGCTGGACCTCGCTCCTGAAAGATGGATGTGGCTCTTTCTCTACTGCAGGGGGCTGAGTGGTTAGGAGCTGCTCGCCTGAAGGGAGATCTTCATCATCATCATCATCATCATTGACAATCCTGCTGAGGAAGTCTATGTCCACTCCTTTGTTGAGCACGCTGAGGAAGCGCTGGAAACCTTCGTTGGCGATAGTCTCCTCCTTGGCTGGTGAGGTAAAGCTTCGACTGGGGGGAGACGGTGGGGTTTCACCGCACTGAGGAAAGGACAGATATTCAAAAACATTTTATTTTTTTTACACCTCATTTCATGAGAAACAAAAAGTTATGGCAAGCACATTACTTTTTTTTATGATTGGAACTTCTAAAGGTCTAAAAGTCTATGACAATTGAGTTTATTAATTTAATAGAGCACATTTCTGCGCTCTCTACTTCAGGGAATTAAATACAGCCATTTTAAAAGTTATACATCTATGTTTTTAGGTCCGACCTGATACAATTGCAAATGGACTTTAACATCAGTGTGACCAGGGTGCTTATTCCGATAAAAGACATCGATATGAAAAATGGCACTGAGATTGATTTAAGGTTCATGGGATTCCTGTGCTGAAATGTCTTGTTATCAAATCTGATTCCAATAAATCTGCATTAAGCTAATAATAGCCAGCTGATTTATCAGTTCAGCACTGTAAATAAACACGATAATGGAAGGAGTTACGCACATTTTGATGGTCTAGGTGGCTTTTTAAAAAACAACCTATATTGCAATAATAATTGCAGTATTATTTCAACATTACAAGTGATGAGTATATTCAAAAAAGAAAGTGTAATTTACCTTTAAGGTTACGGAAAGGTTAAAGGATAAGTAGCTATAGATAGAACCCAGATGGCTAGATAAATATGGATGATTACCATCATTATTAATGTATTTTCTTGTATATATTGATATACTTTTTCTACAAATTAAGGGGCAAAAAGTGGTACAAACCTTGCGTGCTGGATCACTGCATCTCCTCTTCATTAGCGCCTTCACTCTGAGCTTCAGGGGATGGTTGTTCTGCAGGAGACTATCTTTGCTCAGCCTGGATGAGTGCATTCGCTCTCTGTGCGACCAAAACTGAAAAACAATAAAGCAGTACAGTATAGGCCTACAGTTTAATTTGTGGAACACAGTTGGACGCTGCAAATTGGTAAGAAACCCACGTTAAAAAAATATTAAACAAAGGATTATCTAACCATTAACAAAACGTACTTACCATTGAGTTAAATATGGCAGGATTTATTTTCTGCAAAATGACATTCACCCTTTCTTTAAGAGTTGCCCCTTTGCATGTAGCTGCATTACTGGAAACGTTTGGCAGTGTTGGTTCAACTGCTTTCAGAGCAATGGCAGCTTTCTTAAACATTATCCGCTCCTCTATCTCTCTAAGCTCTTTCCTCTTTCTTGACAGCTCTGGATCTTCTTCAACCGATGGAAGCGGTTCTCCGTCTGGGTCCTGGACTTCTGAGTCTTTAATATAAACATTATGAAAGGAAGGACTCAGTCGCTCGTGTTCCACATTCACTCTCATGCTGCTGTGTGCTTCACCAACAGTGGGTCTTGAGTATTCACAGTAAGCGTCCCACTCAATATTAGTTCTTGGGGTATTCTCAATGCTGTTATTTATGTCATTTTGATGATTTGGGTGCAGATTTCTCTGGATTGCTCGTATGGCATCCCAGTCGATTGGATCCATCCTTCAGCCAGCCTCACTTAAGATGTATGTAGTCAATGCACTCTGTAAAGTAGAAACAATGTGGAAAGATTACTTTCGAAGAAAAAGACCAGCCTTGTAGACTGTTACTGTACTGACAGCACTGAAGAAAAAGAAAAAAGACCAACTGTCTTTTGGACAAGCCCCCCTCTCGTCACTGTTGACACAACGCTGCGTTCACAAAGATTACTTTGGCTTACATACTTACTAATTGTGAGGAAAGACAAAGCCTGGCTTTTGATAAACCAACCTGTATTCCACGGTGACATGCTGTACTTAAGTCACTTTGCAAATTTAGGACAGAACAGACAGCAAAACTGACTAGCGTTAAATTCAGTTTTTAGTCGGATAGCTTAGCAGCTAGCTTAGCATCTAACAGACTGCTTACCTGCTACAGCGTCTCAAACTACCCCTTCCTCTGTCGCATAGCGGAGGTTTTGTTTTTTCAAGGCTGTTATATGGAAAATGTAATTATTGAATACTGATGTGCCAATAGGGACCTTCAGTAGGCTTCCGAAAAAAGCGGGGGGTAACCGTTAATGTTAAAACAAATTGGCCAAAAATGCTCAGAGCTTCGGTGGTGTGAAATGTTGGTACTAACAGCATCACCCACAGGGCGGAGTACCAACTGCACTGTTCTGACTGACGACTTATGGCCATATGACCTGAAGACAGGCGTTCACCTCGTGTTCCACTAAACTTTGACAAAAATATGATGACATTAACATGTCATACTCATTGGCCTAAGGCAGTGGTTCTCAAACTTTTTCTGTCAGGCCCTCCCTTTGGAGAAAAAAAAAAAGTCGGGCCCCCCCCAACACAAATAGTCAGGCTCAGTGGCGCGGCGCCAGATATTTATGTTTGTGGTGCTGTGGGGTAGCATGACGTTTCATATATATTCATGATATTGGGCTATATAAATAAACATTGATTGATTGATTGATTGATTCATAGAGGGTGCTCAAACATTTAGGGTTTCCCATTAATATACCGGTCGCTACAGTGGAATTTTCTACTGCAACACTCCCCACGCAAATACACAGTGTGACAGTTACAATGAAGACTCCAGGCATATAGGTGTAAGCAGGGTTAAAGTGCTATTTGTATAGGTGGTGTGTGGACCTCACGTAGGGGGGTCCGGGGAGCGTCTATCATTTTCCCAACCCAGTTTAGATTTAACCACGCCCACTTCCGCATTACGCAAGGATCCACGTAGCTCTACGCGATAGCGTCATAGACTTCTTCTTCGGCAGTTATGTGTATCCTCAAATGTCGTTTTCAGGACAAACAAGACATTTTAAATATCTTATCAGCTGGTGTGCAGAATATTGAATATAACCTTGACTATTACTGTGTACTTCATTTATCTGACAGCATTATTTAATGATACTATTTTATATATATATATATATATATATATATATATATACACACACATTTATTCATTTATAAACATATATATATATAAACACACACATAAATGTACTCACACATGTATTTATTCATTTATACACACTCACATATATACACTTTATATTAATTAGTACACACACACATATATATATATATATATATATATATATATATATATATATATATATATATAAACAACACAATATAATAAAAACAGTTGTAATAATAACATAATATGGTATGATCAATTCTACCCTTTTGTTTTTGCTCCATTTCAATTAAAATATATTTTTCAAAATCAATATTGGTGGGGGCTCTTTTGCAAAGATAATCAATAACACCACCTGACAGTTGTTGCAGATTATACAGCATACTTGTTACTTACACACAGGCCCCTATTACTGGCCCCTGGCCAACTTGGGGCCCCAAGCGACATTGTGAGATGAGGCCCTCCCCCAACCGACAGGAGTGAAACTTTTTTTTTTTTGGAAACAAAGTAGGCTACTTTGCAAATATAATTCCTGTTTATTATTATTATCAACAGTTACTTTTTTATACAGTGAGGTAAATGGTAAATGTGCATGTATGTCGTTCAGTTTACAGGTACGTCTGCATTTCCTGCCAAATACTAGCCTCAAAAAGATTAAAATATAATTAATGCAAATAAACTACTTCTACTAATAATAATAATCATAATCAATTCAATAATATAAATACTGTTATTTTATTATAATATTGTAATATAGTCAAGACAAAACATGCTGATGTTGCTGATGACAAAACTGATATTTCTTAAATCTGTATTCAAACGTAGTTCCCTCTGTCAGCAATGTATCAACAACTACACACACATTTCTCTCAGTATTTATCTGTGTTGTGGTTGACATGATGATGACTGTTAGGAGTTAAGGGGAGAGGCTGAGCGTCACCATGAAATGTGCAAATTGACATAAAAATGAATAAAAGGGGAAAAAATGCTCCATGTTTTTTAGGCTGTAAACTTTAACTGTTATGTAAGCCAACTAGACAGACAGTGTATCACTCTTCCTCCTGTACATTAGCAGATAAAAGGCATCACATACTTGAATGAATGTTAAATAAAGAATGCTGGAAATAACTTCATCTCCATTAGCCCATATGCTGCAGAGACTGCCTTCTTCATGTCGTGAATTGCAGCTGATGTTTTAATATGGCAATTGGCAATTTGACTTATACAACATTCACAAGTTGTACATTTGACTCATACAATAACTCACCTTCGAGTGATGCTCTAGTTTCTTCATGTTTTGTTTTTTTCCCCTCTTGCTTGCTCCATACTGAAACTGTCTTTTCACCGACATCTCTTCACCTGCACTAGTGGCCGTATCAAAGCCGTGATTGGTCAGATGTCGATTCATTGCAACGGTGTCGGGTTACAGACGTGCTCCCCTTTGTCACCTCTCACTCTCGCGGGGGGTGCGCGGAGAACTGCGCACAGCAGCTGAGGACCTCTGGGCGAGGCCTCCTGCGCAACGCGGGGCCCCATGCAGCCTGCGTGATTGGCCTGTAGGGAGGGGCGGCCCTGCTTACACACATGTGCGATGGTCCCAAAAAAGCCAAAATCTGCACTGTAAAAAAATATATACATTTATTAGGCACTCTGAATAAGGGTTGACTGTGTAATAATCATGCCTGTTATTAATGTCAAATGTTATATGTTGTATTATATAACAAAATAGACATTTATTTATAACATATTATAAATGTCTATCTTTAAATACAATATTACATAGATACCTTTACATCCTAAACAGAAGGTAAAAACCTTAATATGTTACATGACAAACAAAAAAACGAAACATTATATATAGGCTATATATACACAGATGTTTGCTAATGTATCCCTCTTATATCCATCAGGAATTCATATTAAATGATTAATTAACATTACCTCAGCACTGCATAAGTGTGGTCGTCAGTCATATTGACAAAGAAGCACTATTATATTGTATATTGTATATTATGCGGCGTTTAAAAGGACGGTATTTCGCTTGTCAGATTCAGATTTCACGGGTGTGTCGCGTCTATGACGCTATCGCGTAGAGCTACGTCGATCCTTGCGTAATGCGGAAGTGGGCGTGGTTAAATCTAAACTGGGTTGGAAAAACGATAGACGCGTCCGGGGACAAGCTCCCCTGGGAAGATTTATTTTTAAATATTGAAGTTAAAAGCATCAATCTGGTGCACTTTGAGAGCAAAATTAAGAGATCTATGGATACATCTCTCCAGGGCCGTTTCTTCCTATAGGCGGACTATGCGGGGGCCCCCGCGGCCACTAGGGGGCCTCCAAGCTGAAAGTTTTTTTTTTTTTTATTCATCCGAAAAACAAAAAAAGTTGTATTCATACACACAAAGATGAACATAATTAGTAGAAGTGGGAGGGCTGAAGCATAGCTTGTGGAAAGTAGCCCTCCCGTGCATCATCCTAATACAGTGGCATTATTGCGTCAAAAACGTATAGAAATGAAGGAGTACAAAGAAAACAGGAGAAAAAATTAAATAAAAGTTAGGGCAGGAAAACAATAAATGCATATATATAATATAATAATAATAATATATATATATATTAGGGGTGTAACGGTACACGTACCCGTACCAAAATTATTCGGTACGGGCCCTTCGGTTCGGTACAGGTGTGTACCGAAGTGTACCGAACGAATATAACGTTAAACGTAAAAAATTGAGAACGTGAACAACTTTTTGGAAGTAATCTCAGGTGCTGCGTCGCAGCATTCAGAGTAATTTGCTCACATTGGGTTCAACGCGTCATAGAGCGAGCAAGTCATTTAATTGGATGAGAGGCATACTATGAGAGCTGGTCAGAGGGATGCGTTCAAATGTAGTCAGTAATTTGAGGAACTGTCGAAAATTAATGGCGAACGCAGATAAAGTTGAGCTCGAAAATCCTCCAGCATCATTGAAGTCTCCGGTTTGAGAACATTTTGGTTTCGCAGTTACGTACAAGGATGAAGGACAAAGACAGGTGGACCGAACCAAAGCTGTTTGTCGGCATTGTTCAACTAAAATTGGTTACGCGGCTGGCAATACATCAAGCTAGCACACTCTTGAAAAGGCATCACCCGAACGTGAATATCACCGGTACCAAAAGAAAAAAAGACTGAAGTGCAAACCCAACTCCCGCTAGCATGTAAGCCTCCACCACTCGCAGAGAGTTCAGACCGAGCCAAAGCTATTACAAACACCAAATATCCTTATGTTGCCATGTTAGCAAAGCGCTACCTGGCTGTATCTGCTGCCTCTGTCCCTAGAGAGGGTGTTCTCCACAGCAGGAGACTTTGTTAGTGCCAGCAGATCTGCCCTTTCGGCAAGCAATGTGGACAAGTTAATTTTTCTTTAAAAAAACATGAAAATACAATGACAAGCAAGTCCTAATGTCAAGCTGGCTGCTTAGGAACTAGTACAGTAGGCTACAGTTCAAATACAGATTATTTCAGTGAATCGAAAAGCTGCACCTTAATGTTTATTTTATTTTATATTTTTTTTAGTGAAGATTCACAGTTTAATAAAAAATAAAAAACCCAAAACTAATAGTTTATGTTTTGTGAGTACTAGTAGCCTACAGTAAAGTTCAAATACAGATTATTTCAGTTCATCGAAATGCTGCACCTTAATGTTTATTTTATTATATTTTGTATTTATTTGAGTGAATACATTATTCACAGTTTAATAATAATAATAAAAAAATATATATATATATGTTTTATTTTGTGAAAAAAAATTCTGCTGTACCGAAAACGTACCGAACCGAACCGTGACCAAAAAACCGAGGTACGTACCGAACCGAAATGTTTGTGAACCGTTACACCCCTAATATATATATATTAGGGCTGTCAAACGATTACAAATTTTAATCAGATTAATCACAGCTTAAAAATTAATTAATCATGATTAATCACCATTCGAACTATTTTCCAAAATATGCCATTTATTTATGTATATTGTTGTGGGAATGGAAAGATAAATGAAAGAAGGCGGATATATCCATTTAACATACAGTATCTATGTGTATTATAACATTTTTCTGCGTGTCAAAATGAAAGACAACCCACACACCTATCAATCATCAAACCGTGGGGTCTTAATTCATTACGTGTTGATCTCTATCAACGGGGGAGTACTTCAGGAAAGTCGACAGAGAGGGGGGGGGGGGGGGGGGGGGGGGGGAGGGGGCGGCGAGTGGAGTACTTCAGGAAAGTTGACAGAGGGGGGGGGGGGCGGCTAGTGGAGTACTTCGTGACCACAGAGTGTGAACGTTGTGATCAGCTGTTTTAGCGCAGTTCTCCAGTGAAGGGAGTCTCCCTCCGTAGCCAGTTGGCGTAGTTTTGGCACAATTCCGTTGTACAGACCGACGTTAACAGCAGCCCTGTCTGTGCACACGGAGACTGACTCTGTCGTCCGGTGATCTAACCGCCTTCTGGAAAAGCTTCACAAGTACGTCGGTACGCAAATGCGCTTTGTGACACAAGTGACGGTACGCATTTCAGAGAGATTACGCACATAACCTGCGTACCAGTTATGTGCACCCCTGTACTACAGCAAAAGTATTCTCCGTCGGGACTTCCTGCAACAACACCACGCCGTTATCAAAGATGTTCTATTGAGAAGTCGATCACTATGTGACAAAAGTTTTCAAAACCGTGGCTACTGAAATCAATCTTACTAACTGCTGTCTGTGCAATTTACTCCGCGCGAGTTGGCAGACTTTATTTTGCTTACTTTAACATCATTTTTCATGGTGGGGCTAAGCCATTTCTTGGTATGGGTGTAGCCTACCCCAGCCATACCCTGGCGCTGCCACTGGTGGCACGTATGGGGCGGGCCATTCTGCACATGCGTTAAATGCGTTAAATATTTTAACGCAATTAATTCAAAAAATTAATTACCGCCGTTAACGCGATAATTTTGACAGCACTAATATATATATATATATATATATATAATAACTAATATATATATATATATATATATATTAGGGCTGTCAACATATGAGTGGACAAATATGCTTTATGCTAATGTTTATTATCATTTGAACAATGACAAATATTCTCATTAATATTAAACACAACAACCTCTGCATTACAAATATTCGCCTCAATTCGACCTGGAACCTCTCTCATACAATAATACAATACAGTGTGTGTGTATGTGTGTGTGTGTGTGTGTGTGTGTGTGTGTGTGTGTGTGTGTGTGTGTGTGTGTGTGTGTGTGTGTGTGTGTGTGTGTGTGATGGATCGTTGGAGCTATGTGCAACTCAAGGCATATGCTCGAACGGGAGCTGCCTGGACGCTGCAATCATGTTGCGCACTATCCGTGCTGACTTTTCGTACAATGTCCCACTGTCTGGCTTCCTGCATAAAGTCAAGTGCTCGGCGCAGTTGTGGCGAAATGTCGCTCCTCTGTTTTCATTTAAACAGCTCCATATCTGTTAGCGCAGCTAGCTAGCACCAGATGCTAACAACAACAATGCACGTAAGTTCTCTCTCTCGCTCGCTCGGGCCACACATACACACACCCTCCCGGTCCTCCCAACAGCCAGTCGGTGCCTGCCGGTGAGCGTGGAAGTGTGGTCTGCCACAAGCGGGCGGCAGGAGCGGGGCTGTCAGCATCAGCTTGTAGATGGTATTTTAAACTCGATGCGCTCTGAAACTACCGGGCGGCCGAGGACAAAAAATACACATGCGTTAATCGCGTTAAAATAATTAGTGGCGTTAATTTTTTTTTGCGTTAACGCATTAACTTGACAGCCCTAATTAAAATACCTTAAATAAAGTTCTGATGAGATGTTGTTGATGTTTACATTTTTTTTATTAGATTTGTATGATCAAACACTAAAATATATACAGAACCTAAAGTTCTACAGCTAGAATACTGTTATCTTACAGCTTTTTTCTAACATTTTCCAATCAAACAGGTTCAACAAAATGACATCACAAAATGTTCTGTAGGAAACAATTACTCTGAAAACTTAAAATATAAAAATATTTGTAGAATTATAGTACAACTAATGAATACAGCATTTCATATTTAAACATCATACTTATAAACAGTAGAAACAAAAAGTAAGTTGAATTTTTTAAGATTACTTTGAAACATTCTCAACTGAAAATAACAGAAATTGCAAAATGGCGACATATGCTCACATTGTCAATTTGAAGGAGCAGTGTGCAGGATTTAGTACATCTAACAATGGGGATGTAGGTTCCAACCAATGGATAACTTGTTCACTCACCCTCCTATCCCAAGTTTGTAGGATAATGAATATTGGCTGCAAAAAACTTGAGGCCCAATCATGTTTCCTCTGTCCATTCTGCGCTACTGTAGACGTGGCAGTGCAACCTAGAGGACAAACAGATCAGAATCAGAAACAGGTTTATTGCCAGGTAGGTTCACACGTACGAGGAATTTCACTAGGTGTCGTGGTGCATACATACAAATATTTTTTTTTCAAAAGTACACAGATAGCGAACTATATTAAGAACACTGTAATAAAAATATAGTAAGATAGAAATAAAATAAAGCAGTGACTTACATCGAAATAGAATGCAATAAATTATAGAATATAAAATATGTGCAGTAAGCAATATTTAAACATTGCATTATTTACCATCCTGTGATCTCCATTATGTAATGCATAGTGTCTGCGTTGTGGCTGAGGTAAAGTGTCAGTGGGGGGGGGGGGGGGGGGGGGGGGGGCGGGCCTTGTTGAGGTGGCGAGAGGTGTTGGTCCTAATGGAGAGAGGTTCTGGTCCTGATGGAGAGAGGTTCTGGTCCTCATGGAGAGAGGTTTTGGTCCTCATGGAGAGAGGTGTTGGTCCTGATGGAGAGAGGTTTTGGTGCTGATGGAGAGAGGTTTTGGTCCTGATGGAGAGAGGTTTTGGTGCTGATGGAGAGAGGTTTTGGTGCTGATGGAGAGAGGTTTTGGTCCTGATGGAGAGAGGTTTTGGTCCTGATGGAGAGAGGTTTTGGTCCTGATGGAGAGAGGTTTTGGTGCTGATGGAGAGAGGTTTTGGTCCTGATGGAGAGAGGTTCTGGTCCTGATGGAGAGAGGTTCTGGTCCTGATGGAGAGAGGTTCTGGTCCTGATGGAGAGAGGTGTTGGCAGGGCTCGAGCTTAAGGACGTCCCGTCGTCCAAAAAAATAGTGTCAGGGAGGATAACAAATAATTTTGGGACGAATTTGGGACAAGAGTTAAAATAAAAATACCCTGCTAACTCTACTACAAACGGCGATGAAAATGAAACCGACTGCACGTTTTGTGTAGCACACAGTTATTAAACCTCCTTGTCAACATAAACACCATGATAAACACACACGCACAAAACATTTAGAAACCTGCGAAATACACACACATGTAGCTACAGCTGTGCCGCTGGCTGTCAGCCAGCCGCCCAGCTGGTCTAGCTCTTTATATATACAGTCTATGGTCTAGCTATGTACTGAGTGTGTGTATTTTGCGGGTTGAGTGATGTACAATGGCATCCCGTGGAGGAATTCTGAAATGTTTTACCATTACATCACAAAAACGCACAGCAGAACCAGACCCTGGAGCGCTGGCCTCTTTATTTACTTACTCCTCTTCATCCCCTATGGGTAATAAGGCTAAGATGAGAACTCTCCATCGTATTTAGTCCTTAGCAATATGCTGCGCCTCTCCCCATGTAGGGATGGGTACCGAGCCCCGGTATTAAACGGGCCCCGGGGCGGAATTATTAAAGACAGTGGTAACGTTAAGCTCCGACGTTATCGGACTTTTTATCGGTACTGGAGACATTTAAAAAATATGTCATATGTATTATTGCTACATACACATTATATCGCAGTTTTAGTTTCACCAACTCCGTTTCTAATATGCAATAAGACTACAACATGCGTCTATGATGTATTTTCGAGCTTTCCAATCCAGACGAGATCTCTCTCTCCCGTCTGTGTGCGAGGGGGCGGGGCCGTTTGTAAAGGTCTCCTGACTGTGTTACAGACTGTCATCCTGGTTAGTGGTTACTCTGGGTTCTGTCTTCAGGACACAGTGTTGGATTTTTTTGTTAATTGGATGGGACTTGATTGGATTCAATATTAGAGTAATTTTCTCATTTGTGTGTTTGTTTAAATATATTTGGCCTTTGTTTATGTGATTGAATGATTTACTCATAAAAAGGTTGATGAATTATCATCTAATGATTTGTATGATGTTTTATTTATGTTAAAGGTCACTTTGAAAGATTTTAACTAATGATAATGTAGAAAAACTAACATTTTAAATTCGGGACGGTCCACATTCATTTCGGGACGGCTTAGATTGTATTTCGGGACGGTTCCGGGAGGATGGGGAAAAAAGTTAGTCGAGAGCCCTGGGTGTTGGTCCTGATGGAGAGAGGTTCTGGTCCTGATGGAGAGAGGTTTTGGTCCTGATGGAGCGCAGCCTCCAGCCAGAGGGTTGTGTTGAAGGCAGAGCTGAAGTCCACAAACAGGATCCTGGCGTAGGTTCCTGCTGTGTCCAGGTGCTGGAGGAGGAAGTGAAGTGATAACTATTAGTAAACCATAATGATGGATGTTATTATCAGCAGCTGCCAATAGATCCCCTACATCTTGTATGATGGACCTTTGAAGCACAAGCGCACGCACGCACTATTGTGGGAACAATCAAACGCACCCTCCCAGGCACTGCGTGTTAGCGAAGTACAACTGGGATTTCGAAGAGGAAGATATGCTTGGTCAATTCTTAATAAAAAAGAAAAACCAACAAATTGGGCACTTGAGTTTTCATTAGCAGCGCCTAGCTACAGCTGCGGAGCTTTGGTAAATACCGCTAACAGCCTATTTCCTTAAAATGGTACATATCGCTGAATCTATATTTTTATCTTCAGGTGATGACATCTGCATAATGTTCCTGTACAATAAGATTCGAGCATTTTGAAATCCAGTGAGGAAATTCAAGACCAGTAAATATTGATTGATTAAACAACACTAAATAACATTTTAGTGTTTTCTTCAAACTCAGACTCTCTGCTGCGGCTGTACCTCAAAGACAAAACAATTGTCTGATGATCTTTGTTGAACAAGGTCTGATTGTCCTGTACATGTACAATGTGGGGTATTTTTAAATACTTTACTAAACCACATTCAATATTATGTTAGACACAATTTAGTTATTACTCACATATCAAAGTCTTTTCATCTGCAAGATGGAAGAATAGCTGGGTGCTGCCTGGAGAGACTGATGAGAGGGACACAGGCTGCCATCAGCAGCTTTCCACACAAAGCCATCACATCTTCTCTTCCATAGTCCTCACTGTCCACTGGTGCTCTGTCAAAAGAGTGAACATCACAGCTGTCATGGTAACCCTTTGTTACACAACATACAACCAACATGTGTCAAAAGTGACCCAAATTAGTTTTAATTGTAGATATCTTTGCAATAAATTACTTGAACCATTCAGGATTCCAGGTATTCCTCAATTAACATGTTTTGGATCAACACCAATTCTAATTTTTATTTTTCCCTTTCTTACTTTTTGAATAAAAATCATGTTTGTATCACTACACTTCTAAGGCACAACATGGGTCAAACATTACCTGTATTCTTTTGCCATGTTATTTCATGCATGGCTGAGTGTTTCTTTACTATACATTTTCAAAAATAATGAATTTTAGCAGTGATTTGGACCAAGCATGCATGATGTAGTAATACAAAAAGTATTTTAGTTCACAGTGTGACATTAGCTAGTCATGTTAGCGTGTAATATATAGAGCAGAGCTAAATAGCAAGTTAGCCGAACGTTAGCGGTTAGCTGTTTATGCTATGCTAGCTGTTGGCTACTGAACATTAACAAACTAGATTCCGCTGTAAGAAAGCTGTGAAACTTTACATTAAACTTGGCGACAACACTGTGACACCCCGCTGCATGTTTATGTGTAATTCTCCCGTGTTGGAGACGAGAGGGTGGGGGGGCAGCACTGCAATAAGCTTTAAGCTAACGTTAGCAGCCGCATGTTAAGCCGGGTTTCCCGGGCGCAACATCTTGCAAGAAACAGCATCTCAGGGCTTCTTAACATTTAACAACCTATTAATGATGCATACCAACTTAACGGGAAGAAACTCAGCTAACTAGAAGAATAAACGTAACCTTAAATAAAAAATAAAACATTCACAAACTAAGTAAGGATGATCTAAATACATGTTTAACTCCATTACAGTTGCAAGACTCACCAGATCTCAAGTCTTCTGTTCTTTGTTGACGTCCCGATGCTCATATTTAACGTGTAGATGTAAAACGATCCCGATATTAATCCATAAACTCATGTAGCAGACACACAGACAGCTGTAGCTCCAGCAGGAGAAGACCCGCTCAAACTGACTTGGATGTTTCAAATGTGAACGGCAGGCGCGGACAGTTCTCATTGGCAGGTTTCTTCGATGACGTTTGTATTAACCAATCAGGAGTGTTGTGGACTCATTCCAAACATGCCTGACTTGTCTGCCGTGTTTTGGCTGAATTCTATTTCAAGTGCCGTAGCTCTGGCTATCGGCCAGAATCCGAAAACCATACATTATACTGTAAAATTAAGGTTTATTACTGTAAATTGACCAATGGAAAAAAAAAACACAGAAACATAAATAAAACAAGGATAACTGTGACTTATTGTTGAGTAAATAACAGTGTGTGTTTTAAACCTTGGTCCTCCCTGCAGAGATTTCTCCACTTTCTATGATTTTTTTTTTTAATGATATTGTCAACTGTAGATGTTTACAATATAGTAAGTTAGGAATTTCATGAAAACATATTTATTTACTTTTGTTTCAACATTGGATATTTTGTGTTTGTGGTGGATTCAATCGAATATTGAGAAAATTATTTATGTAAAAATGTTTTCCTTACATTTTACGTTTTTTTAATTTTACGCTTTTTTTTACAGTTGTATGTTTACCTTAAAATTCCAAAGAAAATCTTAAAGTCTTATAATAGTAATACACTTTTATATTACGAGTTACATATTTAATTACAGATAAAAACATTTTATTTTACGTACATCTGCATGTATTTTCTGAAAGTGCAAAAATACTGTAAATATTATATAGTACATTTACTGTAAACAAAAAAAGGAAATAAACGTTATTTGTTGTTATTGTCAAAATACTTAAAATAATGTTTTGGGTTGTTAATTTATAGTTAATATCTGTCATTTTACAGGATTTTGCAAGTTATTTAAAAAAACATGATAATTACTATAACAATTTACAGTTATTTCCTGTAAAATTACGATCTTTTTTTACAGTGTATACTATCACGTTTAATCGTGTTTTATGCCGTTTGCCAAGACTTGATAAGTCGCTCGTAAAACACAGGAGGTATGGAAACTAAGAACACCATTATGTGGTAAATTGTACAGCAAATATAACACAACACATTGGTTGTATTTCCTTTAACTGGTGGATATAGAGTTGATGCGGGGAGTGGGGGTGGTGTTGAGATGCACAGGCTGCAGTGGAGACGCTGCGCACAGCTGATCGACAGCTGGGACACAAACCACCAAATACAAAAACATAATTCAGATCCAGTCGTCATGACTCCACTCCGGAGGGATTCCCCGATCATTTCTTACAGTTTCTCATCAAGGGGGGGTCTCCTGTCCCCGGTACAAACACACTGCCTGAGGAAGGCTATGTGTATTTTTTTTGTCAATAACCTTTTTCGGACCACTTATTTATTTATTTTGGTGACGATCCGACCTCCATGCTGCTACTCTGTTTCAAACTGCATCCACCAAACAATATGATTTATCTCGACCTCCCCAAAATAACCAAAACCTGACACGGGTTGCGTTCCGATAATCCAAAAATCAGCTCCTAAATTCTAACCCTATCTCCTATTCCTTGACCTCTGAGTGAAACGTCACGGGGTTAAGGGATAGTGGATAGGAGAATTCAAAAGGACTTAGGAGAAGAGACTGCGGGGTTGCATTCCAATAGTCCATTTAGCTTAGGAACCTTCCTAACGGAGTGAAATGACCCGGAAGTACGTCACTGGCAGCCATGATAGGTGCCGTTCCAATTCTCCAAATGAAAGGAAAGGAGGTTTCAAACTTCCTTTATAACCTCCTTTAGCTTAGGAACCACTGGACTTCTCTAACCGAAAGGAGAGGAGAAAATGCTGCCCCACAATGCATTGCAGCCGCAGCATTTGCCATTACAACAGTCGGCCGTTCACGGAAACAACCGATTATGACCGATAAATTATATCATGAAAGTTACGGTGCTTATTAAGCATTTTAAAACGTATGTGGTAACTTGCCAAAGTGCTTTTTTCTGAACGTTCATCAGTATTATAATCAAAAAGAGAAATATGAACGTTAGTTTTTACTGAAATGATCAAATAAAGTCAACATCTCACAGTCTTTACTGAGCTGTGTGGGGTTTGTTCAACTTTTAAAAGATGTTTGAATGGTGATATACACAGTGATAGATGGTAAGGACTAACGTTTATAATAAATACATTTGTATTGATTTTAAGATATTTTCATACAATCATACGTATTGGGATCATTTGTAATAATTGAGGGAGAGGGTGACGAGCATAAGTTTCACTTTCCTTTTTTATTTCAATTCCAACTTTGGTCATGAAGAATATGTTTCTCTGTTGTCCACGTTCATAAAGCATAAAGCAACAGCATCAGAGCACGGTGCAGAGTCTCTAGATGAGTTTACAGTAGTAGTAGTAGTATTCGTTTATTAGTCCCCAAGGGGAAAATGGGTTGCAGCACATCACAGAGGCATTTCAAAAAGTTAAGACAATACATCACTGACAACAACATAGACACAGATAAAAACAAACAGACATAAGAAAACCAGATATCGGCAGACATGACAAGGGGCCTATAGGCCCTCATTTGCGAAATAGGGGGGACAGGGCCAGACCAGCTGGGTAAACAGTGCGTCCTAGCCATCATTTGTTCAGGAGTTTGATGGCTTGTGGGACGAAAGACAGCCTAGATCTGTTCTTTTTGAAATAAGGGGCACGATATCTCCGCCCGGATGGCAACAATTCAAAGTAAGAGGCAAGAGGGTGCCTCAGGTCACTCACAATATTGTGTGCCAGTTTTAAAACTCTGTCCTTATATAAGCATTCTATATTAGCCAATGAGATTCCTGTCAATTTACTGGACAATGTTATGGCCCTCCTGACTGACTTTTTCTGTGCCTCAGTTGCGTTGCCGAACCAGCATATAATGCCGAATGAGAGCACACTTTCGATAAAAGCATGATAAAACATCTTCACCATTCTGTTGCCGACATTAAAAGACAATAATTTACGTAAAAAAAACATTCTTTGTTGAGACTTAGCATTTATTTTCAGTAGTCCCTCGTTCTTATTAAATATCCATGTTGTAGTCCGCTGTATAGAAAACTGTAGTTTCCATAGTTTCCCCACAGCAGCAGACGCACATTCATGACGTCCGCTGGCGCATCATAAACACGTCGGATAGTGAAAGTGCATTCGGATTCTCTAAAGTACCGCGGTCTCTTCTCCTAAGTCCTTTTGAATTCTCCACTATCCCTTAACCCCGTGACGTTTCACTCAGAGGTCAAGGAATAGGAGATAGGGTTAGAACTTAGGAGCTGATTTTTGGATTATCTGAACGCAACCCAGTACTTTAGAGAATCCGACTGCACTTTCACTATCCGACGTGTTTATGATGCGCCAGTGGACGTCATGAATGTGCGTCTGCTGCTGTGGGGAAACTATGGAAACTACAGTTTTCTATACAGCAGACTACAACATGATGTTCAATAAGAACGAGGGACTATACTGTAAACTCATCTAGAGACTCTGCACCGTGCTCTGATGCTGTTGTTTTATGCTTTATGAACGTGGACAACAGAGAAACATATTCTTCATGACCAAAGTTGGAATTCAAATAAAAAAGGAAAGTGAAACTTATGCTCATCACCCTCTCCCTCCGGTCCACATTAATACAAATGATCCCAATACGTATGATTGTATGAAAATATCTTAAAATCAATACAAATGTATTTATTATAAACGTTAGTCCTTACCATCTATCACTGTGTATATCACCATTCAAACATCTTTTAAAAGTTGAACAAACCCCACACAGCTCAGTAAACACTGTGAGATGTTGACTTTATTTGATCATTTCAGTAAAAACTAACGTTCATATTTCTCTTTTTGATTATAATACTGATGAACGTTCAGAAAAAAGCACTTTGGCAACTTACCACATACGTTTTAAAATGCTTAATAAGCACCGTAACTTTCATGATATAATTTCTCGGTCATAATCGGTTGTTTCCGTGAACGGGCGACTGTTGAGTGACTAAATGCTGCGGCTGCAATGCATTGTGGGGCAGCATTTCTCCTCTCCTTTCGGTTAGGGAGGTCCAGTGGTTCCTAAGCTAAAGGAGGTTATAAAGGAAGTTTGAAACCTCCTTTCCTTTCATTTGGAGAATTGGAACGGCACTTATCATGGCTGCCACTTAGGGACTTCCGGGTCATTTCATTTGGTTAGGAAGGTTCCTAAGCTAAATATTGGAACGCAACCACGGTGTGAGATGTCTTTTTTAGCTGTTCTGTCGTCATTTCCTGCTATCTTCTTCATAAAGTCAGTCAAAATGAATGAATGAATGGGCGTTTCTTTGACTATTTATAGGCAAATATGGGCGTTACGTGAAGCCCGCAAAAGCTGCACCGCATTTCGAGTCGATTGTGATCTATAAAGGGAAACCGGCGTAGGAAGTGCTGTACGCACTTTCCTCGCCAGGACGCAATGTTTGGTGAATCGGAAAATGTCGGAACATTTCTGTACCTATTTTTTGGGATTTCTGGATTTCTACTACGTAAGCAACCTTCCCACGTGAATCCTACGCACGGCGTTATAAATGAGGCCCCCCAGATCACAACGTTCACACTCTCTGTGGTCACGAAGTACTCCACTAGCCCCCCCCCCCCCCCCCCCCCCCCCCCCCGACTTTCCTGGAGTACTCCCCCGTTGATAGAAATCAACACGTAATGAATTAAGACCCCACGGTTTGATGATTGATAGGTGTGTGGGCTGTCTTTCATTTTGACACGCAGAACAATGTTATAATAAACATACTGTAGGCTATGTTAAATGGATATATCCGCCTTCTTTCATTTATCTTTCCATTCCCACAACAATATACATAAAGAAATGGCATATTTTGGACATATAGTTCGAATGGTGATTAATAATGATTAATTAATTTTTAAGCTGTGATTAATCTGATTAAACATTTGTAATCGTTTGACAGCCCTAATAAATATATACATAGGTACACATGTACTTGGCAAATGAATAATAATAATACTAAT